AACATTGACCAGCTAATTAGCAACCTCACAGCCAATTCCTTTGTGCATTTATTACTATTTCCCACATGCAGGCAAGCTTGCACTTCAAAGCATTTGGACACATAAGAAGTTACTTCAACAAGTCATGGAAAAATAAAAGTAAAAGCATGAGCTAATTCTGGCCCCAAAATACATAGAAATTCATGTCATAAAAATGTAGAAGGGGGCCCGGCGCTGTGGCGCAAGTGGTTAAAGGTCCTCGCCTTGCACGCCCAGGATCCCATATGGGTGCCGGTTCTAATCCTGGCAGCCCTACTTCCCTTCCAGCTCCCTGCCTAAGGCCTGGGAAAGCAGTCGAGGACCACCCAAAGCTTTGGGACCCTGCACCCGCGTGGGAGACCCGGAAGAGGCTCCTGGCTTTGGATCGGCATAGCATCGGCCCGTTGCGCTCACTTTGGGAGTGAATCATCGGACGGAAGATCTTCCTCTCTGTCTCTCCTCTCTGTATATCCGCCTTTCCAATAAAAATAAATAATAAAAATAAATCTTTAAAAAAAATGTAGAAGGGTAAATGTTTCAAAATAATTTCCAAGAGTAGCATACCAAATTATTATTTAAAAAAAACCTTAAATAGCTTCAGTTTTATCAAGCAGTCCTCTAATTATCGTGACATAAAGATATTTTCTATCTCCTCCAATTCAGAAGCTGAATGTCTGTTAAAAAAATCTACATATAAATATCACATTCAGCTGCGGAACTAATCAGTTTGGCCATGGTGATAGAAGAACTTGCTAAGAATAGTTAATGACACGAATGATTTACAGTTACCAACTTTGCTTGTCACACACTTGGATCTCTTCTACCAAAATGCTTTTAGGAAGAAAAATGCTCAGGTTTTTAAGAATCCACTAGTAATTTGATGCCATTGTATTTGCATCTGGCGCTGGACACATTTTCCAATGTCTTAAAGAAAGCAGCAGTAGCAGCATCTGTGTAAGAACGAGGAAGCCCTTGCCTTGAGTCACTGCCAAAGGGCAATGAACACAGCCCGTGGCCTGCCAGGAGGAAACACATTTCCTACTCCGTCTTCAGGGACTCAGGCTAACAAATGGCAGCCATCTATGTGGTTATGTTATTACAAACCATCTTGCAGAACAGTCAGCAAAGGTCTTGAGTCTGAGCTGGTATTTTTTTAAACGCTTCAGTGTTATCCACTCCCATTTTCATTCTACATTTCATCAATTATTTCTTAGAAAGATACAGCATAGAGAAAGAGATATTCAATTGACTGGTTCACTCCTCAAATGGCTGCAACAATTTGGCCCAGGTCAGGCCAGAAGCAGGTGCCTGGGAAGCCATTCAAGTCTCCTGGGGGACTGGGGCAAGGGGGCTCAAGCACTTGAGCCATCAACTGCTGCTTTTCAGGCACATCAGCTTTCAAAAGTACCAGCTTTCAAAAGACACTGAAGATTTCTTTCTTCTTGTTAGAAAATCCGGTTTACAGAGAGAAGGACAGACAGAGAGGAAGATCTTCCATCTGCTGCTCCACTTCCCAAGTAGCCACACGGCCAGAGCTGAGTTGATTCAAAGTTAGGAGCCAGGAGCAACTTCTGGGTTTCCTACACCCCTGTGGGAACCCCACAAGGCTTTGGGCCATCCTCAACTGCTTTTCCAGACCACAAGCGGGGAGCTTGATGGGAAGTCGGGCTGTCAGGATATGAATCAGTGCCCATATGGGATCTGGGAGCATTTAAGGCAATGACTTTAGCCACTAGGCTACCATGCCGGGCCCAAACTAGCTTTCAAACTAGCACCCTGACATGGGAAATGGGTATCCCAAATGGTGACCTAACACCACTGCACTCCAATGCCTTTCCTTAGGTTTTATTTTTAATTGTTACATAATAATTACACATAGTTACGCGGTGAAGTGTGAAAATTTATATATGCATACCATGTGCAATCGTCAAATTAAATAGAATTTAGAGCTCTCTAAATACTAATCTTTTCAAATTTTGTTTATTTTAATGTACAGCTATAGAAAATGACGAGGCAGACAGAGATTTTTCATCCTCTGGTTCACTCTCTAGATGGCAACAATGGCCAGGACTGGTCCCGGTGGAAGCTAGGAGCCAGGAGCTTCATCTGGATATCCCACATGAGCAGTACTGGCCATGACACTTGGGTCATCTTCTACTGTGACCCGGATCAATAGCGAGGAGCTGGATGGGAAGTGGAACAGTGAGGACTCCAGCACTACCCACTGCATCCTAACACAGTTTCCGGCGATTTCTTCATACTAGGAGCCTTTGAGCTCCATTTTTCTAGTCCTTTATAAAGTAGAGACAAATAGTTGTAGACAGCAATCACCCCCCCCCCCCCCGTGCTACTGGAACACTAGAACGTACTTGCTCCAGGTAACTATTTTTATACCTGTTATCAATGACCTAGGTACTTGTTTCTGTCTCAATCACTGGAGAATAACCAACTGCAATCTTGTGCACCTGTCATCACTCAGTGGTTCTCAGGGATGCACTGGGGATCTGTGAGTTTCATTACACCAGAGAAACAAAATCAGGAAGCTGGAACTAGGGGTGTTTATCAAGCGGACTATGTAAGACTCCAGATTGCCTGCATTTTCTATGCTGTTCTCTCTCTAAAGCAATAGGTATTAAGATTCTTGGATGCATAGTCTGGCACGCAGGCACAAAAGGCAGATCACATTCTACGTCAAGGTGAGTGTGGCGAGGAGCGTGGGAAAGGAAACCCAGGGAACAGAGGAAGAGACAGTTCCACGTAGGAGAGAAAAGAGGTGGAGTTCTGGAGGCTATAGAGGGAGGAGGAAATGAAGGCCTTAGCTAGGCCTGGGCATTGCTGAGTCACATAACTAACAAAATTAAAACGAAGTGCAATGCAGTGATTGGTGACCACTGCCACCGCTGCCTGATTAACATGTACAATAGGACGGCATTTGGGGGCAGGAACTTGGAGTAGTCATCAGGGTTACATGAGGTCATGATGGGGTGGGGAGGGCTCTGGTGGACAGATTAATAAGCACCCTCAGAAGAAGAGATACCACAAAACTCTTGGTCTCTTAGAACACACTAAAAACGGAGGCCACGGGAGTATACAGCAAGAAACGGGCCATCCACAGGCAGGGGAAGAAGCCCGAGGGCCGCAGTGCAGTGCGGCTTGTGAAGTTGTGCACCTGCAGTGTTGCCATACCGTGCAAGTGCAGGTTTCAGCCCCAACCACCCCACTTCAGATCCAGCTCCCTGCTAATGCGCCTGGGGATACAGCAGAAGATGGGCCACGCGCTTAGGTTAAACGTGCACCCACAGGGGAGACACAGAGGGAGTTTTAGGGTGCTGGCTTCAGCTTGGCCCAACCCTGATAATTACAGCTGTTTGCGGAGTGAACCAGTAGATGGAAGATTTCTGTTTTGCCACCTCACTTTCTCTAAGTCTGCCTTTCCCAGAAATAAATAATCCTCGGAGGAAAAGAGAAGAGGGGAGGGGAGGGGACGGGACGGGAGGGGAGATAATATGAGAGAAAGAGAGAGAGGAGTGGGGGGAGAGGAGGGGAGTTCCTGGAACAAAGAGAAATAAAGTTTCTTTTGTTTAAATTACCCAGTCTACTGTATGAGGGCACTTCAAAGAATCTGTGAGGATGGGTTTTTGTTTGTTTGTTTGTTTTTTAATTTATTTCCGTTTTTATTGAAAAGTCAGATATACAGAGAGGAAGGGAGACAGAGAGGAAGATCTTTCATCCTAAGATTCACTCCCAAGTGGCCACAATGGCCGGAGCTATGTGGATCCAAAGCCAGGAGCCAGGAATCTCTTCCGGGTCTCCCACATAAGTGCAGGGTCCCAAGGCTTTGGGCATCGTCCACTGCTTTCCCAGGCCACAAGCAGGGAGCTGGATGGGCAGCAGAGCAGTCGCTTATGAACCATCGTCCATATGGAATCCCAGCATGGAAGGCAAGGATTTAGCCACTAGGCTATTGTACCGGACCCAGGAAAATAAACTTTTCAGTTTCCACAAATGGTTTGAAGCGCCAACATATTTTATTACATCGGCTTGTGCAGACTAAGCCAATAGCAAGAAAAATCTGTACAGCTCTTCTACCATCTCCTTTCTAACCCAAGGGTAAACCCACAAACCCTTGTTTCTTTCCTAGGTATTTCCCCCTGCACAATTTTATGTACTTCAAATACCCATTGAACAAACAGGGTTTTAGCTTAGCAGTTAAGATGCCCACATATCAGAGCATCAAGGTTCGACTCCCATATCCTTGGGTTTCCTGGTAACACAGACCCTGGGAAAAAGTGTTGAGGTCTGGAGTAATTGAGACCTGGATTGAGTTCTGGGCTTCAGCCCTGGCCTGGTCATGGCCATTATGGACATATTGGAAAGGAGCCAGTTGGTGGGAACTTTCTCTCAAATAAATAAATAAATAAGACTAGTTTCAATCCACCTAGTCTGATATCTGGGATCTGGCCTCCCGAGCCCTAAGCTGGGCTGCCTTTCCCCAGGGGGGTTTTCCTGCTATCCACCAAGCTACACACGGTACAGTAGTTAGTTTTTGTCACTCATTCCCAATCTTCGCTTTCCTGCTATGTTCCAGGTTTTTCCCTTCAGGAAACCACCTATCCTTATGTGCCAATAAGCATAAGCCACTTATTGGTGCTATGTATTGATTTTCACTGGAATAGCAGGGATGAATAACAAATGCAGCATCCGTGGGAGCAGGGCGAAAGCATTGCATTATGGAAAAGGTGAGATTCCAAGTCCACACTCATGACAGATCGAGTAAAAAGGGTTGTTTTTTAATCAAACAAGAACTCTTCGACATACGAGAAAACACACAGCTTCTCAGTGCCACCCTCGAGGATATTACAGCATTATTGCACGTCAGAGAAATCCCAAGATTTACATTGCTTCTTTGGTAGAGAGAACCAGTCATGATCAAATTCAACAAACATCCAATCAGGAATAAAGGGGTGGGGGAGTCATCTTACCTGCAGATGTGTGTTTAAACTTCTCACTTTTCTTCTTCCTCCATTTCCAAGGCTTGAAAATCCTTCCCAGGTTGGCAAACTTACTTCTCCTCCGGATGGGCGGGGTGTGGGTGCCCGGGACCAGGGAGTCAGAACGCATCGCCGCCAGCCTCTCCACTTCCTCAGCTTGTTTTTTTCCAAGAACGAGATGAAATAGAGAGAGGAGGGGGAGAGTGTTCAGATGGGAGCCTCACAGACGGCCGGCATTTTCCATGGTTACAGATAACAGAAAGCACGTGACCAGAGTTCCGCTTCTCTTTTTGCCTTTTGGAACACAAGTCATACCAATGTGTCCTCAAGACTGGGGACAGTCTGCAAATCCTAAAGATCCAGAAGAGCCAATCAAGTCTGGCCAACCTCCACTTGGACCGGAGCAGAAGCGCACTGGGTGTGGAGACAGGGACTTCCCCCAAAAGGCAGGGGGTGGGGGTCAGGGTGAACCAGGGGCTCAGCTATATTTCAGTGCTAACTGGGGGGTCCAGCTATGTCTTGGCACATGTAATTAATCTATTCTAGCACCATCTGCCGAGGCAAAAGGAATAACAAAACGTTGATCAACTGTTCATTCCAGTGCTAGCATCTTACCATCCACTTCTGTCCGCTGCCTACTCCTCTGCTTTACCTATACCTGGAAGAGCGTTGATACGTGTTGAGTGAGTAAGGCCCACCTTAAGGTCACTGAGTGACGCAGGGTCCCTCGCATTTGCACTGGATTCTCCAATTGCCTTAATTCCTCCATGTACCTTTTGCTTGGAGTTCTACTTTAAAAAAAAATCTTAGAAATTGAGAGCTGGGAGTATATTTAGGGAACCCCTAGATTAATCCCAACTACTGACCGTCTGAGAATATTAAAACTTCCAATCTCACCGTGCCTCATGGATCTTATAAATCACAATCATCCCAAGCTCTTTTATCCCCATGGAATAAAACAAATTTTTTCCAGATTGCGTGAAGACACACACACACACACACACACACACGTAGTGAAATAAATACTAAGGCAGCAATATTCAGAGAACACAATTTTCCTGACAAAATTGAGGGGTTGGAAGAATTCAGCTTTCCAGAAAGTAGAAGTCTACCTGAAGCCTTAGCAAACCCGGATACACATGTATATCATCACTTCAAATACTGTCCTTCAGAAAAGTCATCTGGATGGTTGCCGCTTTCACAGTCCCTGAAAGAACAAGCAGGTGGCCTGTTGACCAGCCTGCTGTGATCTGTAAAGGCTTTCATCCCTGGAGAGCTACTCACTCCACAGAGACACAGGGAGCTACGATCAGGCAGTGTGCTGCGGTGGTCATCTTAGTGACAGGTGATGGAGCGGCCCCGTGCTAGGAGGTGGATGGACTTGGAGAATGTGTTAGAAGTGACATCTCAGCAGGTGACTGCATGGTGTAAGGGTTAGGAGGCAGATTGCTTAGCAAGTGTTTGTCCCATCAGCGAGTGGCACCGTTCATCAGGAAGACTAGCAACGCAGGGAAAGGCGCAGCATGAAAAGTGACAACAGCAAGGATATGGAGGAGACCCTGAAACCTTGCATTACAGAAGCTCTTGACCTATGGCAATGGTATATCACAACGAATCCATCCTACATTTAAAAGAGCGGAACTACAAAAATGCATTGCATGTATCTGCGCTCCCATCCACCCCTGCTCAGTAGTGTTGGAAGTTCTCTCTGTGACCAGGGGGGCTAACTGGGGGCTGTGCTCACGGCCACCCTCTGGACTTACCAGAGAAGATTACCCAGCACATGGATAGCTGAGGAGATTCAAGCCCAACATCCCAACTTACATATTCTACCAAATATGCATCTTACACAAAATCATTAAGCCACCTTTTTCATCGCCAAATGAGGGGTCCGATGAATGTCACCCCGAATGGTTTCTGGGGAAGACATGTGAAGAATTGGACGTGATCTTGAGTACAGAGTCCTGGGGTGTGGATGAGAAGACAAAGAGAGGGATCAGCCTGTGGAAACACTCCCAAGCAGGTGCCACCATGCAAAAAGCAATGTAAGCAAAGAGGACAAGAACTGGCTTTGCTTCACAGCAGTGGGACAGGCCCAGGGGGCTGGGAGATAGTGAGTAGAGAGGGACTGTGTTTAGCTAGATTTAGAGATAGAAACTATTCTCTCTATCTGGGATAAAGAAAGAAACGGATCCCTAGGAGAAACACATTGAAAAGGAACAGACAGGACTGAAGAGCAAGTGCTATGGGGACTTCAGCGAACTTGGGGGGGGGGGGGTGAGTGGACTCTCAAAATGGAGAGCTGCTGGCTGCAAGAGCCTGGAGGCAGCTCCTGTGAGCTTGTGAAAGGTGGTATTGGGCATCTGCATTTTATCCTGTAAGCAGAGGGGAAAGGATGAGAATCTGAAAAATGAGTACTGAACACCCAACAAATACAGGCTGTGTGTGAGCTCTTTGTACCAAACACACAAGCTACATCAGTCAACAAAACCTAAAAATACAGACTCAGGCAGCTTAGACTGGGAGTGGAGTGCAGGCAGACCACGAACATGAAAGCTCAGTAAATTACAGATGATGCTAGAAGATATTTGCTGTGGGAGAAAAACTAAAGGAACAAGAGGGGCCCAGTAAATGACGCCAGGAGTATCCAGAGGCGAGGCTCAATCTAATGGAGAAGTTACATGCTTAGCCTACCACTAGGATTGCATCTTAGAAATAACCGTGCAGAGGCAAAGGAACTCAATAGAAACAGATGAGAGACGTCAACAGGGAGGCCACCGCAGTCACTCAAGAGGGGCAGTGACAAAGGGGCAGGGAAAAGGTGAAAGGCAGATGTGAAGATAATCAGGCAAGTAACTTCCCAGATGGATATGAAGTACCAGCTGCAAGAATGTCAAATTGGGGGGGGGGGGGTTATTCCTAGGCCAATGGGAGGAGTTCATGTTTTAAGAAGTTGGATGATAAAAGGAAGTAGCAAATTAAACTGGTAGCTCAAAAAAGGACTATGGAGCCACACAATTCAGTGTTTCAGCAAAGACTCATCAGTGGATTGGATAGGAACGTCCTAAGGGCATCAGAAACTTCTAAGAGGAAAGTTTGCCAGGATGAGGAATGGGAAACTCAGTCTGGTCAGTGAAGCAAGATGCAAAAGCCAGTAAGAGAGGGAGAGGCTGCCAGTGTATGAGCCAGGCTGAGAAATGGATGGGCTGGCACATAGGGAGAGGGGGAGGAAGTGGGAACAAAAGTCCACAGGATGGGTAGCCATTGAAAGACTTCACCCTGGGTAAAACTTGAAACTGAGTTAAACTTTAAACTAATCAACAAATGGCAGAGATCAGAGTTTTTGGGGAGATCAAACCAAACAGCCATGGACAAGCAAAGAAGAAAGTGAGGATTCTAAAATTCCCCGGGGGTTGCAAAGTAGCTGGGGAAAGTGGTTATGGAAGGCAAGCTAAGCATGGAAGCAGGTGCTAAAGAAACACGGTGTCTTGACATGAGTCTTTTCTGATGCTATCAGTTACTTGCCTTGGTGATCCTTCAACAGTGTTAGTAGCTGGGGACAGCCACAGAGGAACTCGTACCAAGACCCCAAGGGACACCAACTCTACAGAAGCTCAAGTCCTCTGTCAAATTGTAAAGTATTTGCATAGAACTGTAATGAATCTCTCCTCCCCCCGCCCGCCCCCAAATCATCTCTAGGTGACTTACAACAAACACCCACCAACCACGTAAATGGTAAGTAAACAGTTGCTACGCTGTGTTGTTAACAAGTATCTCATAAACAGATTAGCAAAAAAGGGGAAAGTCTGTATGTGTTTCACCTTCTTTCTGGAAAACTGCTCGGTCGGCAGTTACGGAATCCATGAATATGAAAGGCTCATTTTATTCCTAACTTTGGACACCTGTCTTAGAGCCTGTATTTTACACCGCAATCATTCTTCTTTCAGAAGTCCGTTCTTCTCAGAAACTTTCCCTGGGTTCTCATACTGACAGATGTAAGTTCTAATTTCCCAGCTGTCAGCAAGCTGGCTCTAAGGGAGCTGGTGCTCAGATTTATCTGCTAGTGCTTTTCTAGACATGCGCTGCAGTCAAATGCAAAATTCCCTGTAGCACCAGGCTCATCCAGGGATGACTGGACACTAACGGGCTGCAGAGTAGCCATCCACCCGCTGAAGTCATCAGGTGCAAAACTTTGTGTATGCAGATGCTCTTTGGTTTGTGGCGGGGTAAAAGTTCCGAATACACTCAGCACAACTTGAAGATCTCACTGTGGAAAACTCACGGAATACACCTGACCTCCTGCAGATCTTGGCTTGGCAGCACAGCACCCTGCAGAGCCCTGGGGTGGGTCTCCCTTTGTGGACCCAGAGCTAAGTGCTCACTGCTGTCACCAAGCAGCCCCTGGGAACAACCAGACTGCACGGCACCAGCCAACACATATCGGGCTTGACATTCTAAGTGTGTGTCATGTCACTTTTGCACCACCTCAAATTCAAAAACCTTAAGTTCAGCCCTCATAGATTAAAGCCATCTGTACAAGGCTACCTGCATCTGTCTGGTAGAGTCTCCATGCTGATTTTTCCAAACATCCTAAGATGCAACAGTTTGGGAATTTTCCAAGTTCAGCCAACCTAAAACATGAGATTAAGGCAGATGATAGCTAGAGCCCCTTTTTTTTAAAAAAAGTCATACAATTGGAAATATTCAGGGCTGATGGTGAGTTTAAGTCTCATAATTGGTACTCAGGAATGACTTATTCAACAGGTAAGTGAATGCTAGATTTGATTCGGTTCATTCACACACATCTTCATGGATAGCACCACCACTACCTGTCTTAAGCAGATTGTACCACCTCAGACCAAATTGCTATTTCACAATCACATCATCACAGAATGGATCCAAATTACTCTGAAGTAGCTACATTAAAATAATTGTAAGAAATTACGAATGCCTTTGCAAATCCCAGGGTGACACAGAGCAGCCTCTTTATTATAAAGGCATAATTGTAACTCCATATTAAATGAATCCTTAATAAGCACATTATTAAATTCAAGATGCTTAGCCCTTAAGTACAGCAGATTGTTGGGCAGTCTGGATTACATTAGGGTTAATTGATTTATATTTTAATCACTATTAGTAACATTTTTCACCAATTC